AGTAAATACAAGTGAGCGGAGACAGTAATTTGTAGTCTGTTAGCATACCTATTATATTCATAAAGATAATTTATTTTATGGAACAAATGTAGTTTATACCAAATATTAGGTAGCTATAATACCATTATACCAGTACCACATTACTCATAAAAAAGTAAATACTTATACGAAACACGAATAATAATAATAAAAATACACAATAATAATTAAAATACTAATATAGGTACAATAATTATATTTAAATCAATGCTAATAATATGCATTAGGGGCTATAGCTAGTTCCTACTACCTAGCTGCCAATCCTTTATATGTCATTACCATCAACCGTGGGGCATGGACATAATACCAGTCTTATGAGTTATGACTTTTGGCTATAGTCTCAAGTTCTTGACTACCTTAGTCAATGGTAAATAGTAAATACTGATTTAATATTGTACTGAGAAGCGTAGTAGTGTAGAATGGTGTGAATAGGTTATAAAACATGTTATAAAAAGCTTAAAATAGATTTAAATATTTTGAAAATGCTATTGTGTATTTGCGTCATACACGCATAGTAATTAGTAAATAATAATATACGTTAGATACGTATACCCTTTTGTGGCAAAAACTTTCAAGTCCCTATAAATTATAATTATTTTTATAAATATTAGGAATTTAAATATTTTCATGAATTTTTCTAGTAATTTAGATCCCGAGACAACTACGTCTCCTATGGACTATGGTCAACTAGTTCCTCGTGGTTATTTAGATCCCCTGTTAACTAGATCATGTTCGTGTCATTTAGATCTTGAGGATCTAGTCAACCGGGGATCTAGGTGGCCGTTCACCATTTCGGCAAGTGATAAATTCGTTTCACAATATTTTTGATAAAATAAGGTATATTTGATTTTACATATTTTTTCATATTTCACAATTATTCAATTTTTTTCTCACATATTTAGACAATTTTACTGTTTTAACGTCTTTTCTTCAGAGTTAAGAACGATTGAAAGGTTAACCAACCATTAGCCAATACTTAATAGTTCACAACTAGTATAATATCGTGTGGTCGGCGAGGTCCACCGGACGTATTTTTGACGTCGATGGACAAACGACCATTACACTCAACCTGTTATATTTTCAATTATTTCTAGATACGATATTATCAATTGAAATATCAGATATCTTATCGTAATGTACTACGATGATTAACTCATTTTTAAACAAGTTAAACACGAACGAGTGAACACTGCGATAAGTGTGTACATTTTAATGTGACATCGTAGTTTGTGTTTCGTGGCCTCGTTGGTCATATTTTACGTGTGTATTACCATTGATTTTATAATATACTATATAAATATTATAAAATATAAATATTAATATTAATATTAATATATATATTATAAAATCAATGGTATTACCAATAATGTGAAAAATACGATCGCCTACAACTTGCAAAGCAATAAAATATGTTTCTGAATATCCAAATGAACATTTTACAAAGTGACGGTCACATTTTGTACTGTAGGTACTGCTTGTGAAAAATCCATAGCAATTGATCATTTTTTTTTTTGATAACACATATTTTGAATTCTTTAGCACATAATTTTGTTGTGTACTTGTGTAAATACGTACCTACTTTTGTAATATAAATACATATAAATCCGAGCCTCAGACCTCAGTGATAAGTATACGATCACAATTCACAAACTCTCACATGGTCGACCACGGACAGCGTCTCAAACAACGCCAAATTATTATATTCTGTGACCGAACGTCATAGAAACATAATATTCTGAATTTCTGAATAATGTAATAGGTACTGTAAAACGAGTAATAAATATATTTTATAATCAACAAATTGTAAAACTCGGTATTTAAGTTTATCTATGCATCAAACAACAACTAAAATAATAACACAACAGGTTAAAATTAATACACAATCAACGAAAATCATGTCCGGTAATGCAGAGGCTAAAATATAATTTTTTTCGTACTACACATTTTATATTAAACTTTTAGTTACCGAGAGGGGCTTTGCCACCCCACCAAAAAAGTGTATTGAATCTATACACATAAACGTAGAGTAATCACTAATCAATTTCTATTTTTCTTTATCTACATTCTACAGAGTATAGACTACATCGCAAGTTAACGATTTATGTCCGTATATTGGTACGATAATTAATTCCGAATTCGGTATTATACATAATATTGCAATAAATTCACAGAACTATAATAATACTATACAATAGGTACCTACCTATAATAGACAGTGAATTGCAAAATAAAAATCCCCGATTTTAGGAAAAAACATCCCAGACTTCAATATTAGGTACTCACATAATCACATAAAATTGATTGATTAAATGTTTTTTAAAAGCTAATTAATGTAATTACCACATTGTTAATATTTAATTATAAATAAACACAAGGTTTAGGAATAGCTATCATTAAAAAAATGATTGTATAATAAATAGTGTTCAAACATTAACAATAAGATTAGGTATTTTGTTTTTGATTTGAAACAACATATTTAAATATGTTAATGGTTCTTTTAAAAAAATATAGGTAAATACATTCAGTAACTATTGGTTGATAATTATTTGTAATTTGTATCGATTATTCGAAATATTTTTATTTTGTAATATTTTAAATATTGTATCTATGAGTAAAACTTGTAAAATCGACTCCTAATAATACGTAATAATTATTATTAATATTTAAAATTCTAATCTATCTATTTCCCAACGAAACATCAAATAACAAAATTAATGAAGAAAAAAGTGTAAAAAAAAGCTAGTATAGTAGGTAGTTATTACAGGCCATTACTTTTTAATTTCGTATTCCACACTTAGTATTTGTAACAAAGTGTGTCGTACTACACACATGGGCGCCCATTGGGGGGGGGGGCAAGACAGGGCACTTGCCCCCCCCCCCCATGGAAAAAAATTTTATGAACTTGTAGCTCAATAAATATTACCACAATATTACCTTATTACCGAGGAAAATTATTTGTGGAAATCACTTTTAAGATATGAAATAAGTATAAAAATATACTCATTGTTATCGTATATTAACATCATAGATAGCCAGATAGGTCGTAGTCTGTAGTTCGTATAGGTACCTATACGTAAAATTATTTATCGCAGATAATTTGTGGTAAATCCATAAAGATCACAATATAGGTACTACAAATATTTTATCAGACAACATTAACTGCATTTTAGTCGTCCACTTTCTGTGTGACATTATATTTAGTGCTGACTGCTGAGTGTCATTAGTGATTATTATTTTTTTCAATTTTCAATTTTTACTATGGATATTCGATCGTTTTTATTTTTGACCCCCCCTAAAATGTTACCTATGGGCGCCCATGACTACACACAATTTTAGTCCCTGCGGTAATCATAATAATAATATTATATTATTTTTGACGGCAGTACAACTACGGAGCCGCGGTACCCACTTTGCTTAAAAATGACCACGATTTGAGATGGTTCCTATCACGGTATAGCCATCGAGTAATATGATAACAATATACGCTATCATCCTTATCTGTGATAAGTATAACGATCACAAACTCGCACATGGTCGACCACGGACAGCGTCCCACACAAGAGGCAACGCCAAATTATTATAATATAATTATTCTGTGACCGAACCGTAACTTTACTCACTCGACGGACACGCCATAGTCATTGATTATTATGATACAATTATTCGTTATTGTGAAAATAACTATTTAGTGTATTACTGGATACAAAATCTCATAGTCGTTCGACGCTCTCAAGTTTGCGGATGAATTTAGTTTTTACAATCGAGAAACTTCAAATTGTTTAAAGTGAGTCTATTAAAACGTTGATACATTTATAATAGGTGGGTATTTACGATATTATTATGGTTTACATTACATTGCATAAATGTGTGTTTAATTACATTGTACATTGGGTATTAAGAATTATATATTTTATACTTGTTTATATTAATTGAACTAGGTAGGTACTTACAACTTACTACTTAATCTTCTAGAGAAATAATAATACTGCCGTGTTATTTTAATAGGTATTTCTATTTTCTATGCTGTACGTAAGTGGCACGAGTGCATTCTTACAGTTCGGTCCTAATCTGCGCTTGTATCGCTAGTTGCGACAGCTTGTTGTAAATAAAAATAATTTGATTAAAAGTTGTACTCGATGTCTTGTTTCTATCTTACTAATGAGGTATATAATTAATCATCAATTAATAAAGCAAGTTAGGTATGAGCGTTTTAAAATAGTAATTATTGCATAAACAAAATACATGTATTTTTTAAAAAATTTACTTTAAAATAAACAGCGGATCATAAGTCCCATGGATAGTAATAGCTGTTACCTTTAAATTTGATGTATAAAAAAAATAGTTAAACTTATTTTAATATTAAAAATAACAGTAAAATTGTCTATGTTAGTGTTCTACCTATATCTTTGTGTAAACTGGTAATACTAATGTGTATATATTATGTTGACAACAAACATGCTTCAGGAGTCAAAATGTATCACTACTCCGGGCATTTGAACATTCAGTACCCACCTGAGTGTAATTTAAAAAATAAAATAAGTACCTACATATTTTATTATTTATGTTATGTGATTAATCATCCAAAAAAAATCTAAATGTATTTTATTCCATCAATATACTGTTGTTTTGGCATAATGATATTAATTTTAATAACATTGTTGTCAATGGTTTTAAGCTAAAACAACAAATAGCAATAAATGTAAGAAAATATAACTATATTGATTCAACTAAAGACTAAAAATATACTAACCTTCTAAAAATAATACAGTGTGTTTTAAGAACAAAATATCATACGATTTCATAATCCATTCATGTTTGTTTAATTATTTTGTCGTTATTAATTTATTTTTTTATAGGTACGTATCATTTTATTATTTGTATGCACTTTTAATAGTATATTGGAATACTGTTGTTGTGTTAAGAACTCAAAGCCCCTGAACTTAATAAATATACAATTTACAATGCAACATCAACAAATAATACCGTTATCCACTAGTTGGGAACCAGCAAAATTTGAGTACACAAAAAGGTCTTATGCCGAAATGTTTCAAGTATTACAATCCTTACGCCAGTAAGTAGGAGGTGATTTAAACTGCCAGATAAACACTATTGATAAATGTTTGTTTCTAGACATGAGGTTTTTTGTGATATTAAACTAGAAACAGATGACGGTACTATAATATTTGGACATAAAGTGGTTTTGGCATCGGCTAGCCCATATTTCCAAGCAATGTTCACACATTTTGCAGAAAAGAATAAAGAACTTGTAGTTATAAGAGAATTGGATTCTGTCACCTTACAACTCTTAATAGATTTTATTTATTCTGGAAAAATCATGGTCACCGAGAATAATGTACAGGTAATAATAAATCAATTTTGATTTTGTTTTAGACAATACAATTGTTTAAATTATTTTTTGTTTATTTCTCAAGAATTTATTACCAGCGGCAAATCTTTTGCAATTACAAGAAATAAAGGAGGCATGCTGCGGTTTTTTACAGACACAACTCCACTTTACAAATTGTCTTGGTGTAAAAGAGTTAGCAGATTTACACAGCTGTCCACAATTATTAACAAGTTCAGAATTGTATATTAAACAACATTTTTTGTACGGAATATTATTTGTTGTTATGATTTTATAAGAAAATTGTATTTATTGTTATATTTTGATTCTTAGAGACGTGATTGAGGGTGACGAATTCCTCTCCTTATCATCTGATCAAGTAGTCAAGTTGATCTCCAGCGATGAACTTACAGTTCCATATGAAGAAAAAGTAAGCAAACTAAAATTGATTTTTTCTAAATTTTTTTATTGGGGGAATGTAAAATAAAGTTACTTTCGTAGGTATTTAATTCAATTTATATTTTAATTAAAACACTGTTTTTATTGTTGCTCTAAAAATATATTTATGACACAAATAATGCCCTAATAAAAATATTTTGTTATTGATCTAAATATAAACATCAACATATTATAAATGCCAAAAAGTGGGTTAATGCAGCGAGGTGGAGTAGGACACCGGTGGTGGAAGTTTGTCCATTCTCCCTTCAGTCCTCGGACAGGATAGTGTATTATTACAATATTCGATTTGAATGCAATGATTGCATTCAATAAGAAACAATTCTGAACAGACGAGAAAAAATTTATGAATCATTAATTTGTATTAATAAGTAACCATTAATTGTATATCATACAAGGCCCCCCGCAGAAATTTAGGTATTATCTAAATGAGCTGAGGGGTATTTAAATATTTTCTATATGTATGTTATCGTAACACAAATTAAGCTAAGAAAGGGACAATACTCATTAATACTCATTACATGTTTATAAGTATATTTACCTTTGTAGGTATTTGAATGTGTTATTCGTTGGGTAACACATGAATTGGATTCTAGAAAATGTATGTTACCCCAATTAATGGAACATGTGCGATTACCATTACTATCAAAAAATTACATATTAACAAAAGTAATTGATGAACCTCTTCTAAATAATGGTCTTTGTAAGTTTTTTCTTAAAATATGATTATATTGCAAAAATGTGAACTAATTTATATTTTATATTTTATAACTTTTTAAGGTAAAAATTATATCATGGAGGCATTAAATTTTCATTCACTTGGGTCAGATCAGCTTATCGGCTCTATTCCAAAAAATATACGTACTAAACATCGGCTTGGAGATAAAGTATGATTCCGTTATAATGTATTTCTCTTTCAAATATTTTATCTATTTAATTTTAACAGGTTATTTTAGTGATTAGTGGATCTGGGCATTTTGAAAATCGTACAGAATGGTACGATCCAAAAATCAATCGATGGCAGTTTGGACCAGAAATGACTCTTTGCCGTGTTAAAGCTGGTCTAGCTGTATTAAAAAATAATTTTGTGTTTGCTATGGGAGGGCATAGTTGTGGATTACCTGTCCAGACTGTAAATGTGCTTGATTTATCATCAGAACTTCCTTGTTGGAAATCATCCGTTGACATGTTGGTTAAAAGAAGTAAATTAGGAGTTGGCGTGATAAATAATTGTCTTTATGCTGTAAGTTATGTTGAATTATAATCTACATTTATTTTGTTATTTATATTATAAATTAGGAACTTATAAATTATATAATTAATTCAAGGTTGGCGGATACGATGGTGCTAATACTTTAAATAGTGCAGAACTTTTTGACTGCAGTACTCAAGAACAGCATATGGTATCTAGTATGTGTACAAGGAGAGCTGATTTTGGGATCGGAGTACTTAATAATCTTTTATATGCGGTATTCTAATATTTTATTTTATGATTTTAAATTATTATTACATTTATTATAATAAATTGTAAATAAATTCCTCCAAGAAATAATTGGAATACATCTCTAAAACAATATATTTTGATAAAATAAAAATTTAATTTAACACTGTTGTTATACTAGTATTATAAATATTTGTTTAAATACACTATTCAAAAATCTAATCATAACATCAAAACCAGAATTTTTTTAATAAATACTCGAATAATATAGGGAATAACATAACTAGATTTCATAACAAATTAATAAAAATAATTTGATTTATATTATTTGTTATTAATATAATATTATAAAAGTAAATTAAGTTTTGTTCTATGTATATTTTCGACCTTATAATTTATAGCTTAATATTGTTTAATTTTGATTAAATAATGATTCTTAATTTATAGTTGATCAAGATTGATTTTTATATCTCTAACAATTGTTGATTTTTACAATATTTAATTTAATATATATTAATTATAATACATGACTAATAAATAAAAAAAAAATAATGTACTTATTTTTTAAACATTTCATAAATAATCTATTCAATCACGATCATTGAAAAATGCTATGTAATAATATTGAATTCCAAGTTTTTTTTTCTTGACAAGATATTTTTATTCCCCTTTATGTTTTAATTTAATTGTGTAGGTCGGAGGTTATGATTATTCAACAAGCCAGAGGTTAAACTCTGTTGAATGTTATCACCCCAGTCTTGATGCATGGATACCTGTCGCAGAAATGCATGTGCGTCGAAATGATGTTGGTGTAGGAGTTTTAGATGGTGTGCTGTATGCTGTAGGTGGTGGCGATAGATTCGGAGCACTGAAAAGTGTTGAAGCATACAGTCCAGCTACAGGAGTTTGGACGACTATCGAAGACATGAGATTGCCTCGACAAAATGCCGGTAAATTTTTGTAGAATAGTTCAAAATTATTTTATAAAACAGATTTTTGCAAATGTATTTATTTCAAGTTAAAATTGTGTTATAGGGGTTGTGGCATTAGATGGTTTATTGTATGTCGTCGGTGGATGGAACTTTTTAGATGTTCATAATTCTGTAGAAGTGTACAACCCCATCACTAATACCTGGTCCATGCTTGAAGCATCAATGAATGTACCACGACGTATAGCATTAGCTATTGAAAGGCCAGCTCATTTTTAAAATTTGTAAAAATATATGATTTTTTTCTGTAGTTATAATAGGTCTATCTATATTGTTTTATAGATATGTTTCATAATACATTTTTTTGTCTATTTATTTGACTATTTTTTTTTTTATGTTTTATTAAAAGGTAATTTTACAATATAAACTCAATATAAATCAAATAAACAAGGTTTAACAAGTATGAAATAGTATTTTTTTTTTTATGTAGAAAAGTGTACAACACAATATACTTGTTGTTTTTTCTCTTTGTTTTCAAGATCCCAGTCAACATGTTGGTACAATTTGTTGATCACTCATTTAAATTAATTATAGACATTTTATTATATTGTATGACTTACAACTACCATCCAGAAATACTTCAGAAAGATATATTGTATAATATTTAAGTATATTATGTTTAATTAATAATTCTGTTATATTTGACTAGTATGTTTTGATTTAAATTGTAAATTCATATTGTATGAATATTGAATATATAGAAATGATTAACGGAAACAGAATCCACGAAAAACAATTAGTCAATGAAATATATTAATTGTTTTGTTCTCTAGACTTTACTTTAAAATTAGTAGAGTTACAAGTTCAGCTACAAACAACTACATTTGTTATTAAATTAAAATTAAAAATAATTTAATATTATGAAACACTTGGCACAATCGGAGACAATTTTTGATAGACTAATTATTAGAATCTGATATTTTAACAAAGTAAAACGTTTTTATTTACTTTATAGTAATTTAAAAATATTGTTCTTGGGTACTGAAAAACGATTGACTGACACACACTAGTACACTACATATAAATTGAGGGTCTTATCGTACAAATTTCGTACTAAATATCGGCCAAAAAAAATAGCAAAAACACAATATGGTGGGTTAGGGAAACATACTAGGATATTTCGGTCTTCGATTAATGAATGTGTAGACCCGGGTGTGCCACCCAACATAAACATAGACAGAGGCCTACAGGGAAAATTCCCTTTTCCCTATAGGCCTATCCATAGGCTTGCGCAGGAATTTTGTATGGGTTGTGCCATGAAGAAAATTCGGCCGCTTTCTCTTTTATGGGCCTAAGCAAATCTAACCTAACCTCAATCTAAAAAAGGATAAATTTAATGCAAAATATTAATTCATAAAAATGTATATTGATTAAATTTTGTGCTTCACAAAATGTTGATATATTTTTACAATAAAGTGTATACCTATATACCTAATGGTACATATAACAATAAATAGAACATAAAAAATAAAATAAAAATGTTTTAATTATTCTAAGGTTTAATAATAAACAGTGAACATAAAAAATAAAAATATTATAATGGTACCTAATCATCTTTGTATAGGACTCAAAACTTTAAACTCTTCAATAACGCTATTGAAATCTACTGATTCGGTCATTTCTTGCTCAACGAATAAAAATAAAAGTGATTCTAATCGTTCTTGTGACATTGTTGACCATAGTTTAGATTTGACAATGGATAATTTGGAGAAGGCCCGTTCACAACCACAACTTGTAACTGGTATAACAACAAACTTGGCAATGACTTCATAGAAATTGGTAAAAATATTTTTCCTATTTGAATCCACTAACCAATCCAACCATTTCTAAATTGTGTGAGTACATGTACCAATTGGAATATCTTTTATTGATGCAAGTATTTTGACTTCAGAGTCCAAATCTTTATTTAAAATGTTGAAAAATGTTTTTAAAACTGAATAATCTTCAATACCTCGTCGGTTGTAATTTAATTAAATTACCAACCGAAGTAATTACTTCTAGAGTACTATCTAAAAATCTATTATCAATTTCTCCCAGTAAATCATCTAGAATAGGATAAAATACATTAATCCTAATTTCATCATATTTAGTTTCTGAAAAAAATTCTGATTCTTCATTGTCATCAATTTTTCTAGCAACTTTTCTTTTTAATACTTCTGGAATATAAATTTTGTTTTTATTGCAAATATCAATGGTAGTTTAGTAAATGTTATCATACTCTTGTTGATCATTTCTCATTTTACTCAAAAACTTTTTCAGTCGTTTTACAATTTATCCATCAATACAATTTATCGCGCCTAATTTATTTTCTCTAATTTTTACTATTTGTAGCTTAAAATTTAAACGAAGTCCCTGAATGAATAAAAGTTGTACAAAACACCCTGTGCGCAGGCCTATGGGCCTATCCACCCCTGACTACACACACAAATATTCATTGTTTTCGACAAGCTCTCGCACGTACGGTCTGCTGTGTAATGTTAAATGTATAAACTAAAACTTAACAGCCAACAAGTAATCCATATTCATATATTTTGTTTAGTAAATATTTTGGTTCCTTATTCACAATAAATTCCGTTCTCTGGTTGTCTTAATAAATAAGTAGTTAGTGAAACATACAGTATTCCTATATTAGATCTTATATTTGATTTGATATAATAGGATATACAGTAGACGCCACTTTATGCTGGTCCCAAAGTGAGTCTTATAACCGAAAGAATCTTATAGGCGAAGTTAGAAAAAAAACAAAATAATTATAAACTTTTTTATGATATTTTGTTTTATTTTAATCTACATACATATTATATATTATAGGTAACTTATTATTTATTAGTGACTTAAACAGTTAAATGTAAAAAATATGATTAAAATTTTAAATTATACTACAAAATATTGTTACAAAATATTACATACCTACTTATTATTAAAAAATTATAATTTATGTATTTACTTAATTATTATTGATGAAAAAAATTTGTAATACCTGTGCCGAGTAATCGAAAGTGAAATTTTCAAAGTAGTTTTCAAAAGCGGAGTGAAAAACAAAATAAAAATTAAGGAAAAACGGGAATTTTTACACTAAAATCTGCTTTCCATAAAATCGATTTTAGTTGTTGCTCCAACTCTTAAATAAATTACCGTAGGTACATGAAAATTTGACTGAATGTTTATATGAGCATTTTCTATACACGATAACATTTTCAAAATGTTTTGATTTATTTTGAACTGTTTAGGCACATTTCATTTTAATTTTTTTTTTAGTTTTTTTTCTAAAAATATCAATAAAATTTTATTTGGTGGTTAAAAACGCTTGAATATTTAATACAAAGCTCCTACTATATTGTTACAATGGCATTTGAAAAATATTAAAAATCCTTAGTCACAGTTTTTCTTTATAAGCATTTAAAGTTCAAAAATTGACAAAATATGGAAAAATCAAGAAAATTAGCAAATTATTTTTAGTTAAGAATTCGTAAAAATTTTTCTTTTCAAATCTAAGGTTTTAAAATGTAATACAAGATTCTTTTTAAGATTATCTACCTTTATCAAAAAAAAAAAAAATGTCTAAAAGAAAGTCAAATAAAATTTTTATGGGTGGTTGAAATTCAAATTTTTACAACATTTTATATTCACTCGATTTTTCGTGTAGCAATTTCCTTATTTTGTTGTAACTCCAAAATGATTAATTGTAGATACATGACAATTTCACCGAATATTTATATTAGCATTTCCTACAAACCATACAATTCTTAACATATTTTGACTCTTTTTGAGCTGTTTACGGACATTTCCAGTTTTCAATTTTTTTAGTGTTTTTTTCTATAAATATCAATAAAGTTTTATCTGTTGTCCAAAAAGTGTAAAAACGTAATACAAGGCTCCTGATACAATGTTACAATAAAAGTTGAAAAATATTTAAAATACATGTGCACAATTTTTTTTTTATAAGCATTTAAAGATCAAATTTTAACAAAATTTATCAAATTTAAAATTGAATAAATATTTTGTAGTTAATAATTTATAAAATGTTCAACTTTTATAGCTAAGGATTGAAAATTCAAAACAAGATTCCACATAAGTAGTTAATTCTGTTACCAAAAAATCTAAAAAATACTGAAGGACAGTTTATTTCTTCATAATCAATCACATCCTTTTAAGTTCAAATTTGGACGAAATTACATAATAAAAAACCTAGAATTACTATTTTAGTTATTTTGCTGTGATTGTATAATATCAATCGTGGGTACTTGAAACTTCTAAAGTGTACTTTTATATATCTATGATAGTATCACGGTTTTTGATGATGTATAACGCGTTATAAGTACCTAATGGATATTGTGATATGATTAATTTGGAATTCATGATATTATGTTTATAATATGTCTTATACATAGACTGACATACCGTCTCCGCTCAGAATCGTTTTTCTTATACAATGGTATTGTATCATTGAATTCAAATTTAATGCCATCCATTATACAGTGACCCACTTGTAACCTACTGTACAGCAGAGCACCTTTTTTAAATTATTTTTAACAACTTATGGTTGAACATTAGATTGTAACATCAAACAAACAATAACAATGACGTGAATTTTAAATATGAAACATGATATTAAATTAATATAATAGTATTGGTTAAGTATATCCCACCAAAAACATATATGTAAAATGAGAGCCAAGTTCAATACTATAATATATGCCTTGGTTGTTGACTTCAACGACAAAAGAAGTGAGATCTAAATGGGTGCCAAGTTAGGATAATATATTGAAGCCTAAGGTGTGACTTGGCTACTTTTCATATACGAATTATTATTATAAGTACCTACTAAAACAGTAATGGAAGAGTGAAGATGATTTTCCGAAGAATAAAATAAGAACTCAAAGCTTTAGAACTTGCAAATGCTATAATATATAATTCGTAGCCAAGTCAGACCTTAGGCTTCAATATATTATCCTAACTTGGCACCCATTTAGATCTCACTTCTTTTGTCGTTGAAGTCAACAACCAAGGCATATATTATAGTATTGAACTTGGCTCTCATTTTACATATATGTTTTTGGTGGGATATCATTACTTTTTGTATGTAAATTATTATAACCTAACCTAACCTAGCCATGACGTATTCTATAAATAAAGTTTATTACTATATAATATAATTCAGTTACTAATATTAATAATAATATTTATTATAAAATATTTTCCGTTTTATATACAGAGTA